GCCCCCCCCCCCCCAAAAAAAAAAAAAAAAAAAAAAAAAAGGGCAAAGAAGAGGGCTGACTCTTACTCGGTAAACTGGACGATATTTTTGACGTCGTAATTCAGAACACTAAACAATATAATTACTGGTGTTTATGAATGCTACACGTTCCCATGTGGCATCTCTTAGATGATAGCTAGACGTTAGAATATACTCCCAGAAAACAAGCCACCAAGACCTCATAGTGACTAACAAGATACTTGACTTTTATTGGATCTGATTTGATGATAATAAGAGAAATATTATACTCCCGGCACCGCAGGTAACTTGCTGCTAATTTGGTGGCAAATGAATTAACGGTGCCAAAATTAGCTCCATTCGGCTCATTACAGCCTTTAATTTCCCATTAATCCATTATGAATTATATGGCTTATTATTCTTGATTAGTTTACTAAGATATCATTGATGACAGAAGTCGTTCAGTGGAAATTACATATCAGGCCTTAATAAATAGGCCCGATATAATTGACTTACGATGTAATCCGCAATCAAATGTCCGATTTCCTCAATACTGCCTTCCCTTTCATCCTAGTGCATTGATTTTTTCATTTTCTTTTGAATTTCTTGGCTGTATTGTATACTAAAATTATTCTAAAATTAATATACGTAGTATTAACCAAAAAAAAAAACATACCATCTAATTTCGATGTGAAACAATTGTTTCTTGCGTCAAATGCGATAAACAACCCGCTAAATGATTTAATGACAAAATTCCCCAATCCCAAAGCTGTGTGTTTATCGGATTCTATATAAAGTACGAGAGTTGTCCTCTGATGCAATGAAAGATGAATGAGAAAGGGAGCAGGGCGCCGACCTGGGAAGGCAAAGCAAAAAACTTTCGGAAATCCCGGTAGATTAGGGAGGCGGGGCCGCAGTTTCAAATTCGTTAAATTTCATCTTTTCAGTTAATTAGTTGGAGGTCCGATTCCGTGATTGACTGTATGTCGCAGCGATAACGTCGGAGCTCACGGTCATGCGTCTCTCCTCCTCTGACAATGATTAAATACTTTTAAAAGATAAAATGCTCAGTTAAAGACTATTCGAGTTTTTAGGAGAAAAACTGGTATGTGCTTATCATCATCAGTGATTGCAAACTGGGCAACTTTGTTACTGATATATCTGTCTGACAATTTATTTGTTATGTTATGTTATTTACTTGTTTGTTTGTTTGTTTGTTCATTTGTCTGTTTTTCT